TTTTGATCGGCAAGCCATATCATCGTTAATTTTTCACCAAATCTCAAGATTGAGCCACCAATTTCGAAGGCTTCCTTCTCCTTCAGGCTGGCAAAATAGTCCAATCACTCAGAAAATTCAGGCAAACAAGTTATGAAAGAAAATAAACTTTATTTGCGAATAACTGAAAAATTACACACTTTTACCTTGGTTATTTCCATGATTATATAAAAGATCACTCACTATCTTCCCTACAAAAGGGAAAAAAAATTATTGAATTCGGACAATTTTTAGCAAAGATACAGCTTACTGAAATTCGTAAACATGTTGGTTCCAAACAAAAATGAAGATTTAAATTAATTTTTGTTCTCTTTGTCGATTATATTTATCGATAAAGTAACATTTGATTTCTTTATATTTTGATACGTTGCATTATTTTATTTTCTTATTAATCTGGCATTTGATAACAATATGCTGTGCGAATTTTTCACATGGGCCTACTAGCTTTTTTACTTTCACTTACGTATATATGCAATATATAGTAAGTGTAAGTATTGCGATCCAGAAAATTTTTGAATCTTAGTTTTCGACGGATTTATACGTTTTGAGGTACCCTTAGTCGAAATGACCAAGTCCCGAAAAATGGCCTGTGTGTTTGTATGTTAGCAGTCTAGCTCAAAAACGAAAAGTCCTACGAAACTGATATCACGTATTTAAGATAGGTATATGCCTTAGTTGTGACGGCAACTTTTTCCTTAAAATCGGCTAACCGGAAGTGCCACCATCAAAGCTGAAACACATTTTCACAGTTTTCTCAAAAACGGCTCTAACGATTTTGATTAAACTCGGTATATCACTGAATAATTAAGTGGTCTTTAATATCAATTAGGTCTTATCCCCATTGATGTCACTTTACAGGGCTTAAATGGCCAATGCTCATATACGTCTTCCTGTAAAGTACCTTTAATATGGTTTATTTTAAAAAGTTAATTATTTCGCATTATTCAGAGTTACGAAAAAATGCTAAATATAAGTTTTGAAAGAATTTGATAAGTTAATAAAGGAGAAATAAAACAAAAATGCAGAAAAACGTAGCTATAGACTGTAGCGCCTAAACGAATGTACCGATTTCATTGAAACTTCGCTAAAGTCATTTTCTCGACACCCTTCAAATTTATGTATATAACATTCATCAGCGAAAAGAAGCTGAAAAAAAGTTACGAGGGATAGTAAAATAATAACTCAAAAAGTATACACTTTTTTTGGGAATGTTGGAATTTAAATTGCCTAAAAAACAAAAGAAGTTTCATCGAAATCGAGGCACTATTAGTAGACTTTAAAATATTTTTACTTTCACTTACGTATATATGTAATATATAGTAAGTGTAAGTATTGCGATCGAGAAAATTTTTGAATCTGAGTTTTCGACGGATTTATACGTTTTGAGGTACCCTTAGTCGAAATGACCAAGTCCCGAAAAATGGCCTGTGTGTTTGTATGTTAGCAGTCTAGCTCAAAAACGAAAAGTCCTATGAAACTGATATCACGTATTTAAGATAGGTATATGCCTTAGTTGCCTCGCGCGGGCTCATTACCGCGTATGGGGAGCGTCCCACGGGTGGCGGATGTGGGGATGGTCGGTGGAAATTCCTTGGAAGTTCCTCCCGGCTAAGTCCGATGGACTCGCTGACCAACAATGAGAGGGGCCCTCCAGACTTGCTGGAGGGAGGGGACCTCCAGACTTGCTGGAGGTAGGGGCCCACCAGACTTGCTGGAGGGTGTGACGTAGGATTGAACGCCCTACTCACATATCTTTAGTTCACCAAACACCACAAAAAGTCATGGATCTCCCTAAGGTAAAATGCCCATTATCCGGAGGTAAACTAGTCCCCCGTTCGGGTCTCCGGGTGGGGACTGCTTTAGGGGATTCATGGCGCAAGTTGAAATATAGGGATTTAAATATTGGTACGTGGAACGTAAGGAGTTTAAACACAGCAGGGGGGCTAAAATCGGTCGCGAATGAGGTAAATGGGTACAATTTGGATGTCGTGGCTCTGCAAGAGGTTCGCTGGCCAGGGGAGGGCTCGATGAGGGAAGGGAAGTACACTATCTGGTACGGAGGAAGTGGGAATCATTGTTTAGGTACCGGGTTTCTAATTAGGAGTAGATTACTATCCGCTTTGAGCGACGTACAATTCTTTAGTGATAGAATTTCGGTAGCTACATTTCAGGGACGTTGGTTTAAAATCGCATTAATAAACATACATTGTCCGACCGAAGACAGTGACGATGAAGTCAAAAGTGAATTTTACGATAAACTCGAATGGGTTTATGATAAACTACCGCGAAACTACATGAAAATAATTGTAGGTGACGCGAACGCAAAGGTAGGAAGGGAAGAAGTTTATATTCCGACGATTGGTAAAGAAAGTTTGCACGAATATAGTAATGATAATGGGATCCGTCTGATAAACTTTGCCATTTCGAAAAACCTGATAATTAAAAGTACGACGTTTAAACATAAGGATATTCATAAATATACTTGGACATCACCAGATTCGCAAACACGAAATCAAATAGATCATGTTTTGATACAACACAGCTGGCAAAGCAGTATAATCAATGTACGGTCTTATCGCGGAGCAGAATGTGGGTCGGATCATGAATTAGTAATCGCGAAACTTCGACAAAAACTTAATATAAAAAAGAGAAAAGAAAACCGTTTCGATTTTGAGAATTTTAATTTGGAAAAATTAAAAAATCCATCAATTAGAACCCAATTCGAGCTAGATGTTAAGAATAGGTTTGAAGCTTTAGAGCTTCCTGACGAGGACCACGAGGATATTGACAAGTTATGGGTAGAGATCAGGGATAATATAAAAGCGGTCGGTAACTCGTGCCTAGGAAAAAAGGAAACTAAGAATAACAAACCGTGGTTTGATGAAGATTGCTTAAAAATGTGCGAAAAAAGAAAAGCCGCTAAATTAAAAGCCCTAAATAATCCTAGCGAAGACAATCTGGAATACTTCCGAATCTCAAAGAACGAAACGACAAAATTGCTCAAAAATAAAAAAAGGGAGTATCTTAAAAATAAAATAATTGAAATAGAAACTAATAGAATCGAAAATAACGTAAGAGACATGTACAAAGGTATAAACAGATCACGTAAATATGTAGGGCCCGTAACGTCTGGAATTAGGGATGATAATAACAATATTCTGACCAATCCGGTTGACATATTGAATAAGTTTAAGGACCACTTTGACAATATTTTAAATACGGGAAATTATGATCTGTGTCCTCCTTCTGAGTACCAGAGTGCTGAACCATTAATAGAAGGACCAAGTAAAGAGGAAGTTGAAGTAGCTATTGGAAAATTAAAATCATATAAAGCAGCGGGAATCGATAATATTCCTACTGAACTAGTTAAGGCATGCGGAGAAGCTGGAGTTTCTAAAATACATCGGTTGGTTAAAAAGATCTGGGTGAACGAGAAATTACCTGAAGAATGGAAAGAATCTATTCTTATTCCGATTTACAAAAAGGGTCCGAGGACGGATTGTAATAACTATCGAGGAATTTCACTCCTTCCGGTATGTTATAAAATATTCACTTCAATCTTAACCAGTCGAATCACGGAATACGCCGAGGAAATTATCGGAGACTACCAATGCGGATTTAGACGGAATCGTTCGACTATTGATCAATTATTTTCTTTACGGCAAATATTAGAGAAAAAATTGGAGTATAACGGTATTGTTCACCAGCTGTATATAGATTTTAAAAAGGCTTACGATTCTATTGACCGCCAGAAACTGTATAATATTCTAATCGAGCAGGGGATTCCAAAAAAACTAGTAAATCTAGTCAGGATGTGCTTGACGGAGACACTCAATAAAGTTAGAATCGGTAATAATTTGTCCGAAAAATTTGAGGTTCGTTCGGGCTTAAAACAGGGGGATTCACTTTCGCCTGTCCTGTTCAATTTGGCATTAGAACATGCCATTAGGGAGGTAATGCGAACCGAGAAAGGGTTGGATCTGGGCGGGACAACATCCGTGCTGGGCTATGCTGATGATCTGGTACTGTTAAGCGAAGACGTTGAAACTATAAAACTAAATACGACAACGTTAATGAAAGCCGGGAAAGAACTAGGACTCGAAATAAACGTAGATAAAACAAAATATATGGTTAGCTGCAAAAATGGCGATACTACTGGTGACATCGATATAGATGGTAATATGTTTGAACAGGTAGATAAATTTAGGTATCTAGGTTCAACGATAACTAGAAAAAACGAAATTGAAGAAGAGATTAAGGTTAGACTGAAGGCGGGAAATGCTTGTTATTTTTCTGAGACAAAACTACTTAGTTCGCGCCTCTTGTCCCGGAACTTAAAAATTAGAATCTATAAAACAATTATCTTGCCTACAGTTCTTTATGGATGCGAAACTTGGCCGCTTACATTAAGGGATGAGCAGCGTCTTAAGGTTTTTGAAAATAAAGTATTGCGTAGAATATTCGGACCGAAGAAGGACGAGTTAACCGGAGAGTTCAGACGGCTACACAACGCCGAATTGCGTGAGCTGTATCCGGGTAATATAATTGATGTAATTTCATCGCGGCGGATCAAATGGGCTTGTAAAGTTGTTGGGCTTAGTAACGACAGAATTCCTAAAAGGTTAATACTTGCTGTGCCGAATTGTAAGCGTCCGAGGGGTAGACCGAAGCGAAGGTGGGAAGATTGCATTAAAGCCGATCTGAAGGGACTGGGTTTGGACGGCGAACGGTGGAGGGAGGTGTGTAACAAGCGATTGGTGGTGTCGGCATCGAACCTTCGGGTTCGCTAAGCCTTATTATTTATTTATTTATATTTATATGCCTTAGTTGTGACGGCAACTTTTTCCTTAAAATCGGCTAACCGGAAGTGCCACTTTTTCTAATTAGGTCAAATATTACATTTACTTATGTTACTAAATCATAGCATGATAAATGTTATTTAAGAGGACATCCGACGCGGCATGATACCGACACAATCAATGAGCAATGAGATAATACATCCCACTTTACAGAGTAGTATCAACGGCAAAACCCACACAGGGGGGGGGGGTGTACTACATTCCGCGATTCTGCCCCAAACAGTTACTATTTACTATTGCGATAGCATGTGCTATCAGTACGTTCTGCGATAGCACTCGAGGTATCAATAGCATGTGCTATCTCCTACGCCCACACCAGTCTCAGCGCACACATCTCTACAATGTCTTCCTCTTTCCAAAACTCCTCCGCATTTCTTATCGGAAGGTTTGCTCAGCTGCTTGGGATCTTCGTCGGCTGGCGTTTTAAACCTCAACAAGGGATGAACTCTTGTGACAGTCTTGGATCCCAGAAGAGGGATAGGTCTGTTTCTTTAAAGCCGTTGGGCAAAGCACGTTGACCCTTGACAGCATATATATTATATCAAAGCAGATTATACCATGACAGTGGCTGCGACAGTTGGAGTAGTTGATACACACTTTTGGATGGATAATACAATGATTTATTTATCTATCCTGAAATCAACAATTATTTTTTTTTTTAGAATGAATCAACAAACCGTTGTATGGTATTTGGTTGGTAAATAAACATATTGTCTTTCTTATTAAATAGTATAGCACCCGAAGAATTGCATTCGAGGGAGATTTTTATATATACACTATTTTTTATTTTAATGAAATTTACAACTGTATTACATTAAAAATACAACAAGTAAATGTGACACTGGCAACATGACATGTAAAACATGAAGAGATACTACCCATTGGTAGAACTCAAATTAAAGTTCTATATTAGAAGGTCTCGAGGCCATCTTCTTTTCAGACGCCTCGGAGGGTTATCAGGGATCGAGGAGGAAGCAAGGTTTGAAACAAGATGGTTCTGCAGTTTGTTTACACTATTTATTCATGATATTTACAACTATATTAAAAATAAAAATACATACATCTAAAGAAACTTTACCTTCGTGGTAACATAAATAAATAAATAAAAGATGATTTATATTATTGGCCTAAATATTTATTTTCATAATTAGTATTATGCTAAAAAAAATAGCATTGCTTCAGTAACATTTTCAAAAATAAAAAAAACAAAACGAAGAATATAAGCTTTGCATTAGAACATATGAAAGATATCTAGAACATATTTGTTCCAAATTATCCTATTTAAACTTTTTTTTTTGGAAAATTAGTAAACTTATAAATAACCATATCAACAAAAAAAAATGTATACTTTTTGAGTTATTCGGAAATCTAATTTTATCACCCCTCTTAAGTTTTTTTCCAGCTTCTTTTCGATATATGTTATATATACAAATTTAAAGGGCATCGAGATGAAGACTTTAATCAAGTTTCATTAGCTACAGTATACAGCAAAGCAGTTTTTTTTCGACCGCCATCTTGAAAGGAATGGACGGATATTAATGTCGGAGGATCATCTTCGGGTGACCTCTGACTTTGATCCCAAATTTAAAAAAAAAGAAAGAAGATTGGTGCGGTGCGCGCATCACATAACTTTCAATTACCACTTTTTCTTAACATAAATAAGTATTTTCAAGATTCAAGACCCAAGATCCTTCATGGGATGTAGTGTTAAAGATTTTTTTTTTTTTTGTATACAATTAAATATTAAATAATACTAACAATAGCATTTATAAAAACCACATTTTATATTTATATAATATTGACGCAGTCCTTATTATATTAATCTCATGATACGGAATTCCATGATATGGAAGCGTGTTCAAATCTTTCGGGTGAGCTCGGGTGCATTCGTATTCCTTTGGTTCCCGAATTACAACTATTCTCTACTTTACGATTTCTTACATCTCCTTTAGCTAATTATCAAATTCTTTCGTATTTTATAATTAATTATTTTTATATTAGAGATTAATGTGAAATGGTCAATTGTTTCAAATAAAAAAAAATGAAAGGTACTTTAGGGGAAGATAATATTGAAAATTCTATAAGCCCTGTTATAGAACACCAATCAGAATAAAACCTATATTTTATTTTAAATTGCTTAATTTTACAAAGATATAATGACTTTAATAAAAATCGTTAGAGCCCCTTTCGAAAAAATCGTAAAAATATGTTTAGACCATGATATAAAGTGCCACCGATTACCCGATTTCGACGAAAAAGTTGCTGTAACATCCATATAGAAACCTTAAACATGGAATTTTACTTTTCTACGAATTTTAGTTTTTGAGAAAGACTATTAACACACAGATAGACCATTTTGCGGGACTTGGTTATTTGGACTCAGGGGACCTCAAAACCGTTGAAAACTGAGATTAGAACATTTTCACGATCGCAATACTTTGTTTTACTATATATTACATATATATAAGTGAAAGTAATATATATTACACATATATAAGTGAAAGTAATATATATTACTATAGGTAAGTGAAAGTAAAAATCGATCCCTTAGTCTTGAAGAAAATGCACGGACGGCGGACGAACAAAAAATATTTTATTCGATTTTCGAGTTCTAGGTATCCAGAAACATAAAACTTTAAATTTTGAGAGGAGGAGGAGGGAGTTCAGTTTTTAATTTTTTGGTCGATTGCATTGGTTAATTATTGAAAATAATATAATGAAAAATATATTTACATTAGTAGATAACGAGGCCATCTTCTTTTTAGACTTTCTACTTTCGTAGTTTTTTTTTCATTTTTAGGCTTACTGCTACTTATTTGAAAGATAATTATTAAATTGCATACAACTCCTAAATTTAAAGTGGTTTTAACTTGTCTGAAAACTATAGGAAAGTCTTGTGAACGCAAAAACCATAAATTTAACAGAATGTTTTCAATATAATATTATCATTGATGTGAATTATACTTTTTTTCCCTTACAAATATTTTAAAAAGCCTTTTACGAATATATTTTACACAGTTAACGCTATCGTGTTCCGCCCCTTACTTTTTATTTCTCGGAAGAAGCATCTTTATAGAAAGATAAGGAGTTATATTTTAACAAGGGATAAGTGAAGGTGAGGTAGTTAAGATTATACTCACAGAGAAGAAAGGGGTCAATAAAATGTTCTATGTTTATCTTTTTTAAGAAAAGGAGAGATTTTTGTGCCGTTTAAAAAAGTGTCTTAAAATGGAGATTTTTTTTAGCTATTCTGACAAGATATAGATATATATTTACTTTTTTATATATGCATATTTAATGAAATTTACAACTGTATAAACAATACAACTAGTAAAAATGCACACATTAGAAATTAAGACAAGAAGAAGACTTCAAGAGATACTGCCCAGTGGTAGCACTCTCTATTTGATTCTAGGTGAGATGATCACGAAACCATCTTCTTTTCAGACGCCTAGGGGGATTATCAGGAATCGAGGAAGAAGCAAGGCTGAAAACAAGTGGATTCGGTTGGGACTGGAGTTTATCTGGCTTGGGCTAAATCAGCAGCAAAGATTATTTTAAGATATAAAATCTAATGTCTTCAACTATAATATATATATACACATGTGTATATATATATATATATATATATATATATATATATATATATACTATAGTATCCCATAAATTCCTTTATTTTTCTTGATGTGTTGTTTGAGATTGTTTTTCTTTTATATTGGGTTGGCAAATAAGTCCTTTCGGTTTTTTAGGGTGAAAACTCAATGTATTATAGAGATAAAACTTATTTCAAGCTAAAATATATTGGCTATTATTTAATATGACTTTTTCTCCATCTTTCCACTAACTGCATAATACCATGTTCACAGAATGTCTGTAGTTTATTGTTAAAAAAATAATCCAAGTAGTTTTTGATGTCCTCATCCTTTTGGAATTTCTTTCCATTCATGAAGTTCTGCAGAGACCGGAATAAGTGGTAGTCACTTGGAGCTAGGTATGGTGAATAGAGAGGGTTGGGCCTAGCATGGTCTTGGTGAAACACAACACCATTCCGATCATTCATAACTCTTCAGGATGTTCTCCAAATTCGATGTTACTATATTCACTGGAAAGCTGAATTATCGCTCTTCAATGCCGTAAGAATGTTTTTTTTTTTTTTTTTTATTTAATGCCTACATAAGGAATAAATAAACAAAACCGGATTTTATTGTTTATCTCCATTAGTTTCTTTACGAAGGTCCTGTTTAAATTTCTTGTAGATAGTCGTATTGAAGTTATAAAATTTTTTGGTATTTACGAAAAAAACATCATACGAGAAACCCAAATATTAAGCCTGGAAACATAGCCGAGCTTGTGCTAATGGCTTTCTACGCTTGTGAGCATCCCATTTAGGGCCATATCAATCTCTCGCATTGATTGGATGGGGTTTTGATTTTTGAGGTGAATATTAAGGCATCATCCATATTAACACTGCAAATACTTCTATGAGCTTCTGCAGCACGCTTACCTTTTTTTTATAATAATACAACAAAATATGCCGATAATGAATGATATTTTCTTCCATATTCGCAGTGCAATAGCAAACACAATACTAAGCTAGTTTCAAACAAGAGTTAACAGATATAGTTGTTGACATATTACAAACAGGATAAACAATCCATCTCGGAAATTAATTCATCGGATAACAAGTGTATCATAGTGACATAAAAATAAACAGAAAAAACAAAAGAACTTATCTGCCAATCAAATATATAAACCGTTCTGCTTGATTACCTTCTCCCATCTCAAAGGAAGCCTCTTATACTATGTTTTATTTTTTATTTTACTAATTTAGATTATTTTAACACTGGTTAAAATTATTTTCGTTGCATCGATGTTGATTAGCCTTAACAACGTGTTAAGTTATCATAACGAGCTGATCTAACGTTATAACTTGATCAAATCTTAAAAGATGGTAAAGTGTAACCTTACATGCGGTTAACGCAAGTTATGTTACCGGTGCAGACGGTAACATAACTTGCTTCTGTCTTTCAAGATAGTTCTTCATGTCCAGTGAGTAAATATTTTGTTATTCGAAAAGAACTAACCTACAATGCACCGTCCCATATGAAGGAAAGATCAAGGAAATGATCGTTACAAAGATTCATAGATTATGAGTTTTGAGGGAAAAACTGATGAAAAAATATATTTCTAGTGAAATAAGTAAACACTCAACATGCTCTAATTCCTCACCCGTTGGACCTACATCGAAAAGCTAGGTATACATCAAAATTGATAGTAAACTTTATCTCCTTAAGTTTGCATATAGTAATAATATCGATAAAATGCATACAATATATTGACTATTATTGTATTATACCATGTTCATAGAACGTTTGGAGTTTATTGTTAAAAACCTGATCCAAGTTATTTTCTATGTCCTATCCTTTTGGAATTTCTTTCCATTCATGGAGTTCTGCAGAGACCGGAATAAGTGGTAGTCACTTGGAGCAAGTTCTGGTGAATATGGAGGGTGGGGCAA